TGGGTGTTCTTGTCATCTCCGACTGCATTGACGGAGCCATTGTCTGTGATGAAATTGGGCTACGTATTGGGTGTCGAAATGGTGACTTTTTCCTTTTTCCTTCACGAAGTATTAGCCACTACAACGATCACTATAAAGGAAAGAGAGTTTCACTAGTGTACCATACAGATAGATCAGCTGCACGTTGGCTCTTAGATAGAAATGATTGGAGGGGGCATAAGGATCTTAAATAGTGTACCTAGGTTTTTTCTATCGCATCGTAATATAGGATTGACTTCCAGCTTGGCCTGTCCCCTGACAAGGGTGAGAAATTTCCGCAACATTTTGGTCAAAAGACCCATCATTTCTCTTTCCTTTGCTTGCTTCTTACGACACTTTAACTTCCTACAACAAGGCTTCCTCAGTTCTTTTTACAACATGACAAGCCAACGAGCGCTCCGTTCCCAGACAGCGAATGCCATGAATGGCAATATTACTACTAGAAGCGGTAACAAACCTGCCAGCGCCAGCTCTGGGGCTGGCACCGTCAGCGGCATTGGGCATGGAGGTGCTTCAGGGGCAGGCAGGGGCCGCGGAGGAGGGGCATCCAGAGCTGGAAGTGTTGGGCCCATGGCTGCTGTGGCAGGAAGGGGTACGGGCCAGAAAGTGAAGGTCGGCAGTGATATTTCCGCAGAAGACATGGCTCTCTTTTGTAGAGTTAAAAAGCAACTTGACGCCCAGAAAAAATCAGCCAAAGACGCTGAGGATGCAGGTATGTTATTTGCTGATTGATTTCCACACAACTTGCCAACCCCTTCACTCTACGTAGCTATTTCAAAGAAGAACAGGCTTCTTATGGATGCTGAAACTCTGCCCAATGGAGCTCAGGTTGCTGGCGCAACAAGGAAACGGCGCCGTATGGTGCTAGATGACGATGAACTGGATATTGCTGATGATTTGGAGCCTATCACCACCTCTCTTAACCCTCCTGTAGAGGAACCAGAGACTGCTCCTCAAGAACCTGAGGAGGAAGACGAGGAAGACAAGCTGGAAGAACGTTCCACTAGGAATGAAGATGACGACGATGTTGAAATGGTCGGAGACGACGAATTTAACGACAAGTTCAACAAGTTCAACAATGGCGATCGTGACGCCTATGAGAACACCTTCAAAGACAATGGGGTTCGCTTTTGATGACAAACTTTACTTGTGCGCTAACGCTAATTCTCCTTTAGTTTCAATCTATTCCCAAGAGCACTACCTCAACTTCTTCTGTCACAACCTATTCGAGGGATTCCACGCCCTCGATAACTATGGCTATCACTGGCAAGGCTGGAAGACGCACTGGAAAGATTACCGAGTCTGATTTTCCTGACCTCATTCTGCCACTTGCCATTGCACTTAAAAGCCGAATCCGTTATTTAGCAGCTTTCACCAAAGCCTTTCCTCCTACTGCACTGTCTGAGCGGGTGGACTATGCTTGGAAGGCTGTCAAGGAGGCTGTTAACCTTGATGGAAACCTTCAAGACGCATACGGCTTCATCGTCCGGGATCCCCAGATGAAGAAAAACATTATTTCCTTTGTAAGCTCTTCATAGTCATGCAAACATTTATTGACGACATTGTTATGCAGGGCTTATATGCAAGATCTGGGATCACTAGCCCCATAGTTTCTACTGTTCGCACGAAGATGGCTGATTTCTATCATCTAGGAGGTGGCAATGAAAAGATAGAGGAAGATGTCGCATGGTTGCTAAAATCAAAGGCATTCATGTATGGCGGAGTCAACGTCACAGTGAGCTTTTCATTAAATACATAGTTTCTGCTGTTTGACCATCTTTTAGGAAAGAGAATATGACGACATGAAGCCATTTGGCTCAGAATTCATGATGGAGATGATTGAAATGCACTGGTTTCACGGGGGCCGTTCAAATGCAAATGAAGAGGCAACTGCTCATATGATGGAAGAAAAAAGTATTCCTCCAGCTGTAATGTTTATTGTGCTAGCGGCGGTAAGTTCTTTTCCAATGACACAAACATTTTACTTATGATTGCTGTAGATGGAGCACGTCCTGAAGGATTGGAGTAAAGGCGACGTAAAGGCAAAGAGTCCCTTCTACGAGATACTCTCTCAGGCAAGGTATTGATTTATTTATTTCTCCTACTACTGGCAACATCTGACCTGTCTTCTAGCTTTGCTCGCCATCTTGAGAATTGGGATAAAATCAAACAGGAGGCACCCTACTGGCCGCGTTGGTGGAGTCGCCAAATCTTCTCTTTAATCGTGTACGTGTACGTTCAACTTAAAGCTCTGTTCTGCTGACTGACTGGTTGTGTCAGACAAAAACCTGAGGATAGAACTCAAGAGACGACAGAGAAGGATTTAGAGAAGGTCAACTTCCAGGCCTTGAATCGCCTGGCAGGAGGGCCTGGCTCTGCTCCTGCTGCCCCTACTGCCCCTACTGCCCCTACTGCCCCTACTGCCCCTGCTGCCCCTACTGCCCTTGCTGCCCCCACTGCCTAGAAGTATCCATTGCTTTCATTATCATCTACAGTATCTTTTGCGAAGGAATACGAATACACTACATCTTTCAGAATACACTACATGTTGCAACATCTTTCAGACATTCTGAGGCATTTTGAATCCACTCTTGGAGAGACATAAGCAACATCCTAGCGGTGTAAAGCGCTTTCAAGATTGATCCAAGGATCTTTGGGTCATCTTCAGAATCATCAGTATAACGTCTAGAAGCATCTGGAGCAACTCAGAGTAGCAGTATATTAAGTCTGGAGCAGCTTGAAGAGCTCTAGAGACATCGCAAGCATGCGGAGTAGCTTTTAAGGCTCCCTGGCATCTCTGCATCTCTGGATCCTCCAAGGAACCCGAGGGAGCTCTGGAGCTCCCTCGGAGACAAAGTCGTTTTCCTGATGTCTCGCTGTACACAAATGCTGACCTGATGTCGTCCAGACCTTTCTCAAGCTCAGAAACGCCAGTTACATCATCCACAGCTGCTAGGTATGAATTAATCGTTGTCCTGTTCAATAAATCACTCGTCATGTGCCCCGCTTTCCCCAGGCCTTTGACGAATAGAGCGGTTCGCCGTGAGCTCAACACGGGTGCGACGGAACTCAGCAGTCAGTGGGGAGCCTCAGATACTATGTACAGATGTAATATTTAACTACAAATACAACTGCTTTGAGCTCCAGGACTATGACTGCCTATGAGACCGATGAAAATAGCAGCAGGGTGTAGGCGCCCAAAATGCCTGCCTGACTGCCACGAAAAAATCTGCAATAGGCGCCAAAATTTGGGGTTTTTGCCACGTGTTTCCACTTTTTTTTGGTGCCTGAAACCCCTAATACTCTGGTTGTATTGCAGGTTAAAACAAGGCTAAAACAGGTGGTAGTTTACGGTGCATACAAGATACTGTAGATATCAGTGCTATTCCGATGCGGGTTTTTTAGGAGTGTCGGCTGCCCACAGTGGAAGCGTACGCACGACAGCAGCGAACCAGAGCAGCATTGCTTTGTTGCCGTTCTGGTGGGCTCCTTCCATACGTTTAGTGGTTTGCCGGCCCGGCTCGGCCTGAAAGCCGCGGCTTAGGCCCAGCTTTGGGAGGCTCAGGCTCTCAATATTTGAAGCCTGAGCCGTCCCTCCCGGCTTCCCACAGCCTAGGCCCAGCTCCGGCCTGGGCCATGGCCTGCGCAAGGAAACAGGACAAAATTCATGTATTTACTAACTATCAATAGATTGTACATCATCTGCATGGTTGAACTCCACTGCTACATTGTTGTTGTTGTCTCCAAGCTTCTGCATCCTTGACGGCCCCGGGCCTGCACTGTATCCCTCTCCTGGTTCTCCGGCTCCAGGCCTGTCTACGAAATTGAGGTCCTTCTCTTCTTGGGCCACGGTCACCACCTCGCGGGCGGCGGAAGAGAAGATAGTCGATTTCGGCGCTTGGTAATTGTGATACCGGCAGCTGAAAATGCTTAGTGGACTTGGTGATGACGATGGGGCTGATGTCGAGGAAGAACCAATGGCGAGATGGCTATTGATGGCTAAGGGAGGTTGTTGTGACGAGGTGATGAGGCGACGGAAGCTCAAGATCGCCTGCATTATTAGCAGTCAGCTTCGCGGATGGGTGAATGGTACAGGTGGGACGAGAAGACATGATTGGTTAGTTCGGCTCACCAATAAAGGTATTTATACTCACCAGAAATGAACTGTACAGTTGTATCCCATAAGCCGATCAGAGACCACCAACACAGGGTGCACGGCGGCCTGGGGGACCGCCTGGGGGACGGCCTCAGGCTTGGGATTATCGAAGCCTGAGCCGTAGGCCACCCAAAGCCGTACCCATGGCTCAGGCTCGGCCTGGCTTCTGGCGGCCGGCAAATCACTACATACGTTCGAGCCGCGCTGCAAACTCTGGAGAAACCTTGTCCTTCGCATTCTTTGTGGTAGCTAAGTTAGATCGCAGTTGAACACTGCAGATCATTCAGCTCCATATTCCGTTCACTTGGAGGGAGCATCTTACTTGTTGTACCCAAGTGTCGACTTTATGGTAATGAACTAACGAAGAGCAGCATTAGTAAGGATAAATGGACATTCGAATGCATGGCTTTCAGTACCTTCCATACATTTGGATAGAAGCTCATGAACCAGATAATCGGGATGGAGTACAGAGAGAGAGGACTGTTCAAGAAAGACATGGTGGCTTCGAGTGCAAGTATGAGTGGGGGTGGTTGTGAATACAGGTCATTGTTGATAACTGTCCAGATCCACTTCCCTTTATACATGAGACTCACTCGTCGCACAACAAATTCTTCTGGTTCCCCCATTACTAAGGGATATGAGCCAGTGAACATTCAACCGCCATGTCGCTGCTCCTTGCTCGTTGGTGACCACTAACTATCAGGGCGTGCACAGGTCTGACAAATGACAAGCGCTTTTCCTTGTCAGCCTGTTGGTCAAGGTCACGCGTACGGGCAGGGATGAAGGTCGCCTCGGCGTTCAACCAGCAGAATGAGTAGGTTTTATGTATGAATAGCGCTGGACAGCATCTGCATTCAAACTTCGGGTGAGTACAAGTGTGGCCAATAATTGATGTTTCAGGAGAAAAAATGTGTTTGAGGGGACAAAATGGCCCCAGGTGAGTTGAAGCATGATCAATTAGCCACATTGTAAGTGAATGCGCCTTGTAAAAGGAGGCAGGAAATGTGTGACTGGAAGTCGCGTTAGAATTATCAAAAAATGAGAATGCTTATTAAGGGACTTACTGGCTCACTGATGATGTGCCTACAGTGGGGTGATCGTGCGAATAAGGAATGGAGAACACACACCCAAACACCGTAACGAGTGGCTCTGAGGTGCGAGGACAGCTCCGTGTTTGTGTGGCTCTAACCAGAGGGCGCGCGCGACTCGAAGACGGGTGACGGATGTGGGCGCTAAGTGTGGGATCGGAATGGCGATGGCGGTGAGATCGAAAGACGGGGCAACAGTGCGTCGAAATGGTGGGTCAAAACGAGGCTGAGAGCGACGAGAGAAGGCATGTGAGAGACAAGTGTGAGGTACGAGTGCCCCAAGTGGGCAAATGAGACGAAAACTGTATGTTATTGGAGGGAAAAACTAATGACAAACCTTTTATACCTACGAAAAACAAAAACACTGGTCAAGAATCTCTCCGAACCGGGCTGCAGGAATAAAGAATAAGAAGAAAACTCCCAGAAAAATAAGTAAGAATAATCAAAAGGTGAGAGAACGCAACGGACGGCTGCGCCAATGGTCTTGATATGGCAAGGGTGGCACGTCGAGGCTTCGCTTCAACTGGAACCATGTGGGCCAATCACGGGGCTTGCTGATGTTCTGGCTGAGGGTCTCCAGGTGCGTCAGGAATCATATGGCTCGATGGGAAAGGTGTCGGAGATCGACAGGACGGGAATGCAATGATGAATGTGATGACGAAAGTTGAAAAAAGGGATTTTCCAAGGCCAGGCAGCGGGCTGGCTCATCACTGAGCAAAGACAGGCATTTTTCAGCCTAAAGCCCTCGTGGATAAACGAGGTCGAAATTGACACGCAAACCCTGCTCCATCTCCTTTGCAAGCAATTTCTCAACTTCCAAGTGCACCAATGCTGGTAAGTGCACTAAAAATCCATTCTTCTGTTTGGCGGCTCTAAACAGTCTCCAACGCGCTTGAAGCATCTGAACAATGCACTCCATTGGAGCTTTGCCCCACTCAGGCGGGAGGTATTTGTAATGGTGTAAGTTGGGAAGGAGCATTGGTTTTCTGCATGACACAGTTGGCATGAGCAGCTGCTTATGCAGAGCGGTGTGTAGGACCGCACCAGTATCGTATCAGTTGTCGTAGATCGAAAGCGAGGTGAGCGTCTTGGAATGGTGCCCAAGGACTTGCCGGATCTTGTCAATCTTCATAGAAGTGTCGATGGTCAAGTGGAACTTGTCCAGTTTGCAGTCGTGCTCTTTGAAAAATTGATCGAGGATGGGAAGGTCTGGGCATCCCATTCCTTTCATACCAAGGTCGTGCAATTTTGGGACTTTGCCCAGAAGACCAAGCATGTGTTTTGAGGAGCAGCCGTCGATCACAAGTGTTTCAAGGAAGGGGAACGACAAGGGGAGGTCTTCTTCATCTTCGTCATTGTAGACAGCGACGTAAAACTCCGAGTCAATATACTTGAGGTAGCAGGATTTGACGTTGACTGTTTCCTGTAATAGAGAAATTGTGTTTTCGATGGAGAGACTTGAGAGATATAGGTCTGTAAGAGTCGCACAGGAAGGCAGGTGGCAGAATTTGAAATGGTGTGAACCCTTGAGAGAAAGCTGACAAAGAGCCAGTGAGTCCTTGAGCAAATCAATGTCCATCCCATTGGCAAGATCATTGAGTGCGACTGCTTGGAGAAGGGGAAGCTCGCCTTCGCATTCTTCGAGACTCGCAACACACTCCTGTGTGATGAGATCGAGGTTGATTTTCTCCCATTGAACGCGCTTTCTTGTGAAAAGGGCAAACATCTCGAACGGCCCATCGTCACACCACTCCATAAACTCCTCTTGAATATCCCTTGGAACACGAAACACGATGTGCAGTGGACAGTCCTTTGCTTGATCAAGCCATTCCTCCAGCAGATCGACACATACATCATAGTGCTTGATTGAGAGCACAAGATGTACGTATTTCCAGAGGGTTGGGAGGCCCCATGCGATCTCATGCCATTTGTGACAGACTGCACCTAGCAAAAGAGGCAAGGTAAAATTGGTGTTAGGTGTTTTGCAGAAGGGAGGTGGCTTGGAGGTGAGCTTGAAGATTTCAGCGAGGAGTTCGCTGGGAAGAACGTCGCAGGGTGCATGGATGTGAGATTTCTCTATCTTCATTTGTTCTCCTAGGCCTGTTGGAGGCGTCATCCATCTCCAGACCCCAGAGTCAAGAATTTGTTCAGAGCGTTCAGATCTGAAGAACGTTGAATGTTGCCAACTTCAAGCGGTATTAAAGTTGAAAATACACACACATTTGAACTTTTTGTCACTCTAATGCATCATCTAAGACCTTCGATTCAGGGTAATGCAACAAAGGTAATGAGGATGGCTGGAATGTTTCTTTTGGTGGCAGTGTCGATGTCGATGTTGATGTGAGTACGTAACTCCGAGTCGTGGGAGATGATTACACGATTGGTTAGGCATTCCGGAGGGCCTGTCTCATCTTCCATGCTCCTTCCATCCACAGTGACACGATACCGAATCTCCTCAGCTTGTCCATGAAATCCACATCCAGAAGGCATTTCTAATTCATCGAGGCAGGAACTTAACCCGCCTACTCACTATTACCACTGACTGGTATTAGGGGCTATCAACTGCCTTTTCGGTATCATGTCGCTTTTATGTCATCCAAAATGTTAAGCGGGGCCTGGGTGCTTACCTGTAAAGGGTACAAGTACCTGAAGAAAAGAAAACACCTAGCAAATATAGAGTCACCTTGACAATATACCAGTAAGGGAATGGTTCTCCTACAAAATAATTGGGATGCAAGCTCTGTGCACAGGCCCTCTCCATTTGTCTTCAGCCTAATAGATGCCCAAGGGCCTCTGGGCTAGTATACTTTGTACCGACCAGCTCGGCTTCCTCCACAAATGTTCATTTCTAGGAAGGAGTGGGCCATCTGGAGCTGCTGTTACTCAAAGAAGCGGAAGGTGTTCTCACCACTTTCTGAAATCTTGATTGAATTCAAGGGATCATGACACAGGTTTGTAGGGGTTTGTCTGATGGTCGAACACTAAACATACCTCCAAGCGTTAAGATCTACAGAAGGTAAATGTTTTTTATCAGTTACTGCCTTACATGGAGATCCTTGTCAGGGGCAGAGTGGCCACCACTGTTGCAAAATTGTCACTGTCAACTTTCTTCGAATCGCTTCACCAGAATCTAGACTCACTGAGGTGCAATATTTTATTTCCTCCAACCAATACTCATGGAAGAAGCAGCACTTCAAGCTCTCAAAATATCTGAAGGAAAGAAGAGGAAAGAAGTGCACCTTCAGCCAGTGGGGGCCAAGAGCGACAGGATCTCACCATGCTCTACACCAGAATGGGTCACCAAGTATGTCCGATGCAACAACTGGTGGATTGATTAAACCTGCACACTTGCACAAACCTTCACAATTGATCTGCTGGGTGTCCAGCAAGTGCCCTGTCGGTGCTTGGTCCACTTATTTGTCCCACCTAGACAGATCTGGAGGTACAAAATGCCCATTTGATAATTGAGAGGCTCTTCCGCCTTTTGCATGCGCCACCCTTCCCTTTCCACAACCACTGCCACCTCCCCCTCGGACAAGCTTCTCTGCCATGGCCATGGACACACTTGGCCCAGCCATTGGCAGCTTAGACCGCCTCGCATTCCTTTTCAAGCAGTTGCACATCCTTGAAGTAACGAGGGTGCGGATTTGAGCAACTTTGCATATTTAGCCTCTATTGAAGGTTTTAACATGGTTCTCTTTATGGTTTAGATGGTCGATGGTGAGTTGCATCATGACTTCATCATAATACTATCTTGACCAAGCTAAACCTTTCGCAGTTGCTGCCAGCACGATATTCGTTTGGGACTACTTGATGACCATAGGCATGGAAATTGAGTACATCTGGCCAGGGAAATGGACGATCATGAAAGTCGTCTATTTGCTCCAGCAGTACCTTCCTTTCATTGACACTGTGTGGTTGCAACTTCATTGTATGATCGAACTATTTCCATACCTTTTTCCTCTAGCCCTAAGTCCCTCATCATAGAAATATTCACGACAAATCTTAGTCCCTCAACATGCCACCTCCTCACCAACACAAGTCGTTTGCTGATGTACATTGGTTTGGCATTGTCAGAGAGTTCGTCGTCTCCTCGTCTTCCCAAATCCTGTGCCCGCAAGGTTAACTGTGCATACACAAACCAGTGATTCTGACATTTCAAGCATGGGCCGTCTGGAATCGTAATTGGGTCCTGACAATCCTTCTCCCTATTCTCTTTGTTGGCTGCTGGGCCCCGCATCTTGTGTTCCTCATCGAGATCCTTAAGAGCTTGGAGTGTGAGCACATACTTCTATTCTCCCCTTTTTCTGCTCACCGTCCCCATCCTATTAGACACGACACCCCTGATACCCCAATTCATCGGCTGCTTCGCCATAAGAGGTAGCTCAAACACTGTCATCAGTTGGATACTTCTGATGGTTTGGGATACTGGTGTGTAGCGTTCACTCTCAGGGCAATGGATTATACTTATCAAGGGCCGCTGCAGTCATTTTTGTCCTCATGGTTATACCTGCCATAAAGACTTGTATGTTTTTATTTCTGCTCTCTATTCATTCCTTGCCAAGAGGAATCTCTCCCATTTCATTTCAGGGGCCACTCCGCTTTGTATACAACGGTGTACGCAGAAGGTGCGTTTGCCTGTTTCATGGTATCACGCTGAACTTCACTGAGCTCTTACGTTGTGCAGGGATCGTCTATTATTTCTATCTCTTTGGTGAGTCAGATTGCAAAGAATATCATTTGAGGACCCTTTTGACCAACCTCTTCATACAGCCATGTCTGTCATCAACATCATCCTGTTACATTTGGAATTGGTAAGTCATCTTCTATCTGACACTACTACAAGGTGACCCAACAGGGCCACAGGTTGACATCAGATATCGATTTATGTTGGTCGTGTAAGTTCTTTTATGTATCAGCTGAAAAAAAAGTTCGCTGACACTCAAGATGACCACCAGCATGGCGCGCTGTATGCACTCGATTCTCACCAGCCGCACACTGCTCCACATCTGAGCACACATATATCAGCCACTGCATGAAGAAGTGTTGTATTCAGAAGACCACAACCATCAAAATACCGTACGCAGCATCAAGACTCGAGGACTGTAATACCATGTGCATCCATAATTTAGTGTAGTAGACTTCTCAACAGGAATCTTGACATACTTGAAATAAATCTGGCAGTTGCGTGTCTCCTCCTGTACTAGTTGGACTGCAGCCTGATGTATGATAGGCCGTCTAAGACTCCCCTTTGCAAAATAGGTCAGTTTCAATGTGTAAGCCTTCTTCTCGCTCAGTCTTGAGGCTCTCCAATATACCTCTGCAACAGAAATAGGGTAAGCGGACAGAGAACGCTGGTGGAGAAGCGTTTTCCAACTTTGTCCCAACGTTCCTTTA